AAAAACGACCGTAAAGCGCCGTATTTCGCCGTATACGGCACGGAGATTTACGATCGTAATACGGAGCCATGTAATACGGCCAAATACGGCGATTTACCGTCGTATACGACCGTGTATGTTCGACCTGGGAAAGTGACGTTGAAACATTCATAATTGGCGAAAAAGCAAAATAGAACGCTGCTTACGTATACAAACTATATGTGGTTCTGTGCGAAATGCACGAAACCTATCAATGCTTTAAGGAGAGATATAAAGTACTTTTTGCAGAACTGTAAATCTACTAGAGAGCGTAAAAAGCTTTAAATCGTTTCGTATGATATGTGCGAAACCGTCAATCACGCCTACGAAACTGAACTTTTCTCGAAAAACATACGAAACCTTAAGATTAATAATATGAAGACAAAAACTTTAGTACGAACAATTCTAAACCTTTTGACCTTGCACGAAACCTATGATTGTTTAGTATAAAAAGAACGGAACCTTCAGCCACTAAGTCGATTTGTTATACGAAACTTAACTTAATTTAAAAAACTATTATTGGTTTAGCACATCAACTTCGAAACCATATAGACCAATCTGCGAAACTAACAAAAAGTTCCGTTGCAAACTTTCAAAGCCCTGCTAATTCTTCTGAACTTGAAAAAGTTTTGTATAATTATTAAGAAACGGTTTCCACTTCTCCGAACCTGAAATCGTTTAGTGCAAATATGCAGAACCACTAAAGCTCAGCAAGAAACCTATTTTTTTAAGAGTGTAGGACAACGCAATAAGTTCGAAAACCTTAATTTTAATCTGGTAGATAAATTACAAAAAATACGTTGTAGCGAGCATTGTGAACACAAACGAAAAGAATCATAGTGTACTCGTTTGTTCTTAGATTCGTTTTTCTGAAAGATTGTTAACGCGCTTTTTAAGGCGCTTCTCTGAATGAGAATTGTAATAAACCCTTTGGAAGGGTATATTAATATCATTTTCTTTTACAGTGTGTTTTAGTATTCTAGAAATTCAATCTTTTTCAATCATTTACTCAATAGGAAATTGGAAAACGAGCAATCAGTCAAGCAATTTTTAGTAACACTGTAAAAATTGACCGATTTCAGAAAAGCGTTTCTTAGTGAACTACTAACATGCATACAATCATGTCTCGATGAGAGCCTACTAGTAGTCTAACATTTTTGACATAATTCTGTCGGATTGATATCAATTTTGCAGATACTTGATTTTTATTGTAATTATTGACAATATAGAAAACATAGACATCAATTCACTAATAGCGAAATGACAATATTTATTACAAATGTTGCATATTATTATTTGTAATTTATTTTGGATGGTATACAGTACGAGCTACCTGTAGTGCTTGATTGCGAATCAAAGTCATCGTCAAAGGAGCCACGGTATTATCTCGGCCGATGAGCCTTGCAAATGGTTTCGTGATTTTAACTTTTACTTCATTGATAGATACAATGCATACGAGAGGGGAAAGTAACATCGATAACCAGAAAAGATAATAGAAGTATACTGTTTGAATGTACAGTGAAACCGTAGGTAAACCAGCGAATAAGCCAACGAAAGGAATGAGAGCATAAGGTGCCCCTGTCACCAAATGGAGAAACGATAAAATCAACAGTTGTAATATCATCTTGCGATATTTCTTCCAGTGAATGCGTTGATGAGTCTGAAATTTTTTCATGTACAGTACTCGAAAGATCGTAGCGATATTGAGAAAAATGTTGAAGATTAAAGGAGCTAAATTGTGAGCAATAAGATCAAATGTTGAAATCGCTGCCTCAAGTGTGTAGCATGGTACACCACAAAGAACTTCCAAATAATTCGGTTGTGGCTCACATGGATATAGGAAAATCACGATGCCATAGAAACCAGCAATGTAGATTACTAGTGCAATAAGTGGTAAATAATGCAGAAGCCAACGATATTTGGATGTATTGAAAATATGTGAGTGAAACACTAACAAATACCTTTCAACTGACATCCACCAGATGAGCATATTGTTCAGACTACAAAGTGAAAAGTCACACCATTGCCAGATGAGACAATTGATAACAGTTGCTGGCAAGACGATACCTTGGTAGAGAAACGCTAGAACTCGAGGAACTTCAACAGCATTTGTTAGTAAACTCGCGATGAGTAGAACCAGTACAACGTGATTGTGGAGTGCGCGACGAAGAGCTCGATCAGCAACAAGATGATATACGAGAAATAAATTGGACAACAGAGCAGGAGGTTCAAGGGTGGCAAAGAGAATCAATTTGCCAAGTCTTGTTGTAGTAGTTTCGAAAACCTGAGAGAAATCTGTATCGTTTGGGTTCGTAGATGACATTTTGTATAAACTGAACGGAGGCTATCAATAAAACGAAGAGTTAATGATGAGAAGTATAATAGCGGAAGCGTGAGTATTTTCTTTTATATGAAATAGAATGAAAATTCTTTAGATAATGTGTTAGGTTAATTGTGTCGACACGTTATCATTATTTTCCTGTCTCACTTTTGAAACATCTTTTTCGAGGGAGCTATTAATTGCAGTGATATTATTAGAAGAAATTAGTATTTATGTATTAAAGACATATTTCCTCACGTTAACTGTACAGTGTATAACTCATTATGTGGGTCTGTCAGCAGCATGCTCGTATTCGAATTGGTAATTTATAAATGTAGATGAAGTGCTCAAGTTGGTATCGAAGACAATTATTTCAAATTTAAAACAAGCCGTTCACACTAAACTTTTGGTGACGTACTCTCTCCTATATCTAAACTTGGTGATTTGTTTCTTGACGTGAGAAAAAGAGCGTAGAGTAAGCATAGCAATATAAACTATACTAATTCTTTGACTTTTGAACGAATTCTAATCGTGTCGTGATATATTTGATATTGCTGTTACCACTAAATATTCAAAATATATGCAAATACATAAGAATTCTGCTTTTTCAACAGGTAACCATATTATTATACAGAATGAAGTTGAAATAGTTTCGTGAAAAATATATCATTTATCAAATCAGTGGAAGTTGATTTAAATAACATTCTCCTACAAGAACTTTGTTCAACTTAAGTTATTAGTTAATAAAGGAATTATTTTTATCGACATATTCTCAAATTTGTCAGTCCACATACATATATACTAACTACAGGGTAGCTTCTTTTACAAACAACTGTTGTCATGTTTTCTTCCGTTCTGCAGTGCTTTGTTGAAGATAAACTTACTTTAGGCTTGATTCTTTTTTGATACTTATACTGACTCATCGTTTCAAAAATGATAAAAAATTGCTAGAAACAATATTCTTTATACTATTTTACACAATGGGACTGTCTTAACTAGAGAGAAATCCTTGTCAAGAAAAATGTTGTAAATCTGTTTGTCTACTCTTCAATGTCAAGCGTCAGACGAACTTAGCTTACCTATGAGCCCTTTGAATATTTTAGTTACCTGTGTGTGATTTTGAAATGAATACTGAATTTTTTAAAATCAAGATGACTAAAATCTTTTGCATACTCATAATTTTTGTTTTTACTAAGAAAAGGATTCGTTCAACCATCACACTATCTATGCCTAACGAACGTTCACTTTCTCAAGCATATGAAGACTTGCTTTAATCATAACTATTTTGGTCTGTATGTGTACATTCAATTTCTTGACTATTCCTAAACTCTCTTTCATACATTATACGGTCGAACTTCGTGCTCATTTTGATTGACTTCATTAGAAAATATTATAGTTTTTATAACGTTAAATGTCGCAGTTGCCAGTCACGATCTAATTAACAAAATAAAATGATAACTTAATCACGATCCCTTTTTCTTCTTCTACACATTATTTTTTTAACACAACTAGAGATTCTACAGTTTTTATGATTCATTTATGCATTCTGCTATAATCCATGCATGGAAAAATATTTTGAACCATCATAATTCTCATTATATTTTTCTGTTACTGTCACATCCTACTCTGATGAAAAGCTTATTCAACCACGAAGATTTTCACCCCCGCATTCACTCCTTTGAGAATTTTGCAAGGTAATTGTTTGACTAAAGATACTTACGATTTTAATTTTCAGCCTGATTTTCTTAACTTAAAGAAAAACTATTCTTGAGTCCAGAATATTTTCAATAGTCTATTTCCTACGTTTCTTATCAAAACGGAGTTAACGTTAACTTTGTCACGGCACTTCTGATGATTCTTCTTGATTTAGCTTTTGATAATGGAAAAAACTATTTCTTTGAGTCGTAGTTTGCTTACAAACAAATAGATCAAAAGACAAACTG